TTGTCGTCGTTGTTATTGTTGTTCGGGCGCCGGACCCTGGCGCCGCCCCAACAACAACAACAACACGACAACAACAACAGCAGCAACAACAACAACAACAACGCGGTCGCCTCCCGCTCGAGACTTCCTCGCAATTCACAGAGGGATGATGGTTTCCTGCGCTAGGGCCTCGGCGCCCCCCCCCCACACCCCTACGTCCCCGCACTTCCACGCTCCCAGACACCCAAAGGGCCCCCAGACCCAAAGGGACGCCCTGACACCCAAGGGGCGACCTGTAGGGATCCAGCTTCAGCCGTACGGACCCCCACAGGGATCCTCCCAGGCCTCCTCCCATGCCTCGTTCCACGTTTCCTGCTGGCCTCCAGTGAGACCTCATGCGACACCCTTTTCAAGACCTCCACGCATGCAGTCTACGAAGGCTTCCCCTGTATAGGGATCTTATCGCAGCTGGTAGGGCACATTACATGGATTCTATCGCAGCTGGCACGATCCTTATATTAATCTTATCGCAGCTGGCACGATCCGTATGGGGATCCTGGTGCAGCTGGTAGGATGCCTATCGGGATCCTAGTACAGCTGGTAGGATCTCTTCAGGGAGCTTATCACAGCTGGTAGGATCCTTTCAGGGATCCTATCACAGCTGCGAGGATCCCTACAGGGATCCTATGACACCTAGTCGGATCCCTATAGGGATCCCTATAGGGATCCTATTGCAGCTGGTAGGATCCCTATACGGTTTTTATTGCAGCAGGTCGGATCCCTATACGGATCCTAGTACAGCTGGTAGGATCCCTCTAGGGATCCTATTACAGCTGGTGGGATCCCCATCGGGATCCTATGACAGCTGGTAGGATCCCTGTAGGGATCCTGTTACAGCTTGTAGGATCCCTGTAGGATCCTAGTACAACTGGTAGGATCCCTATAGAGATCCTAGTACAGCTGGTAGCATCTCTTCAGGGAGCCTATCACAGCTGATAGGGATCCTGTCACAGCTGGTATGATCCCTATATGGATCCTATTACACTTGGCAGGATCCCTTTTAGGGATCCTATCACAGCTGGTAGGATGTAGGATCCCTATAGGGATCCTATGACAGCTGGTAGGGTCCCTATAGGGATCTTGTTGCAGCTGGTAGGATCCCCATTGGGATCGTATTACAGCTGGTAGGATCCCTGTAGGAATCCTGTTTCAGCTGGCGGGATCCCCATTGGGATCCTGTGACAGCTGGTAGGGTCCACATCGGAATCCTATAACACCTGGTATGATCGCCATACGGTTTTTATTGCAGCTGGGGGGATCCCTATAAGGATCCTAGTGCAGCTGGTAGGATCCCTATATTGGATTCTTTTACGGCTGGTAGGATCTCTGTAGGGGTCCTATTACAGCTGGCCGGATCCCTATAAGGATCTCGTTGCAGCTGGTCGGGTCCCTATAGGGGTTCTATGACACCTGGTAGGATCCCTGTAAGGATCTTATTGCAGCTGGTAGTATCCCTGTAGTGATTCTACTGCCGCTGGGCGCATCCTTATAAGGACCCTGTAGGATCCTCATAGGGTTTCTGTAGGATCCCCATAATGTTTCTGTTGTATCCTTTTAGGGTTTCTATAGGATCCTTATAGGCTTCCTGTAGGATCTTCATGGGGTTTCTGAAGAATCCTTATTGAGTTTCTGTAGGATCCTTATAGGGTTTCTGTAGGATCCTTGGGAAGGTTTCTGTAGGATCCGTATAGGGTTTCTGTAGGACCCTGTAGGTTTTCTGTCGGATACTTATGGGGTTTCTGTAGGATCCTTGTCGGGTTTCTGTAGGATCCCCATCGGGTTTCTGTAGGATCCCCATAGGGTTCCTATACCTATAGGGTTTCTATCGGATCCCTATAGGGTTTCTATCGGATCCCTATAGAGTTCCTGTAGGATTTCTATAGGGTTTCTATCGGATCCCTATCGGGTTTCTATGGGGTCCCGATAGGGTTTCTATAGGAGTCGTAAAGGGCGTATCTAATTCCTTTCTTCGCTAGCGCGCACACGCAAGTCACCACTCCGATTCAGCACCAGAGTCCTGAGGTACTCCTCCATTTTTTCCCAACCATCCTGTGGTGTTGGGTCCTCGTTTTGAAGAGACGGTGGCCCGCGTCTCCTCTCATTCTCTCCTCCTCCTCTTCCCCCTCCTCCTCCCTCCTCCCCCTCTTCCTTGCGTTTCACCCACCCAGTACATCGTTTCGTGGCCCCATAGGGAGCTCCACCGAAGGCCCCCAGTGGCTGCGTTCGCATGGCGGCCTCGGGCTATCTCGGCACACCCCTCACGAGGATCGTGGCCCCATAGGGAGCTCCACCGAAGGCCCCAGTGGCTGCGTTCGCATGGCGGCCTCGGGCCATTTCGGCACACCCCTCTCGAGGATCGTGGCCCCATAGGGAGCTCCACCGAAGGCCCCAGTGGCAGGTTCGCATGGCGGCCTCGGGCCATTTCGGCACACCCCTCACGAGGATCGTGGCCCCATAGGGAGCTCCACCGAAGGCCCCCAGTGGCAGCGTTCGCATGGCGGCCTCGGGCCATTTCGGCACACCCCTCACGAGGATCGTGGCCCCATAGGGAGCTCCACCGAAGGCGCCAGTGGCTTCGCATGGCGGCTCGGGCCATTTCGGCACACCCCTCACGAGGATCGTGGCCCCATAGGGAGCTCCACCGAAGGCAGTGGCGGGTTCGCATGGCGGCCTCGGGCCATTTCGGCGCACCCCTCACGAGGATCGTGGCCCCATAGGGAGCTCCACCGAAGGCGCCCAGTGGCAGCGTTCGCATGGCGGCCTCGGGCCATTTCGGCACACCCCTCACGAGGATCGTGGCCCCATAGGGAGCTCCACCGAAGGCGCCCAGTGGCTGCGTTCGCATGGCGGCCTCGGGCCATTTCGGCACACTCCCCACAAGGATCGTGGCCCCATAGGGAGCTCCACCAAAGCGCCCAGTGGCTGCGTTCGCATGGCGGCCTCGGGCCATTTCGGCACCCCTCACGAGGATCGTTGCCCCATAGGAAGCTCCACCGAAGGCCCCAGTGGCTGCGTTCGCATGGCGGCCTCAGGCCATTTCGGCACACCCCTCACGAGGATCGTGGCCCCATAGGGAGCTCCACCGAAGGCCCCAGTGGCTGCGTTCGCATGGCGGCCTCGGGCCATTTCGGCACACCCCTCACGAGGATCGTGGCCCCATAGGGAGCTCCACCGAAGGCCCCAGTGGCAGGGTTCGCAGGGCGGCCTCGGGCTATTTCGACACACCCCTCACGAGGACCGTGGCCCCATAGGGAGCTCCACCGAAGGCGCCAGTGGCAGGGTTCGCATGGCGGCCCCGGGCCATTGCGGCACATCCCTCACGAGGATCGTGGCCCCATAGTTGTGCTGCTTCAACAACCGCGCCTGGGCGTCGTACTCCGCCTTGTCGACGTGCAACGCCACCTCCTCCCTCATGGCTCTCAAGGCCTTCTCCTGCTTCTGCTCCTCGGTGAGAGGGACGCCGTCCTTGTCGTCGTCGGCGCCCGCGAAGACGGCCACGAACATGTCCCTGAGCATGTCGGGTTCCGGCGGAAAGCCGTGGCCACATAGGGAGCGCGGGCCAAGATGGCATTCACAATTGCAGTATTTTCACAACAGCATATGGTTGGGTCCTTCGCCAGGCTAATTTCATTTCCGTTGTTGTTGCTGCTGCTGCTGCTGCTGTTGTTGTTGTTGTTGTTGTTGTTGTTGTTGTTGTTGTTGTTGGTTGTGTGGGTGGGGTGGGGGGGGGGTTGGAAACCCCGGGGTCCAGGGACGAGTCCTGTCCCCCCTGGAGGAGAGCTCTGGAGGAGCCCCGAGCGCCGGGGACCAGGGAAGGTCCCTGTCCTTCGCTGCTGCTGCTGCTGCTGCTGCTGCTGCTGCTGTTGTTGTTGTTGTTGTTGTTGTTGTTGTTGTTGTTGTTGTTGTTGTTGTTGTTGAACATTATTATTTCTAAAGAATAAGTATTGTTGGGACCCCTGGTGCATGGCCCCCTCGCCGCGCCTAGGCCGCAGCCTCATTTTCATAATTTTCGTGAGGAAGTCTCAGGCAAAACGATGTGATCCAGATCCGGTTGTTTTGTTGACGCCCGCTTTCCCTGTCAAAAAACAATATAAAATGACATGTCTTGTTCTAACATAACCAAACTTCAAGAATCCTTTTTGCAAAAAATGACACGAAGTGCACACTCGCGCGCGCAAGATGAAATCCTTCCAAAACCTTAGTTTTCGTAGCGATTTTAACATAAAAACATGAAAAACCCAATGTTTTTTTCAAAAAAAAAGTTTCAAAAATTCATCCCGCGCGCTCTTGCGGATTTCTGAGGAAACCCAATATTTTTTCAACATTTCTGTCAAACGGGCTCTTGCGAGCAACTTTTTCGAACTTCTGCAACAACGGTTGCGCACCTGCCAGGGCCATCATCCCTGTCAAATAATACCATGCGGGACACATTCGTTTTTTCTTCGCGCGCGCACGCCGTCGTCGTCGGCCGCGGGGCCCTGAATAGTAGCCACGGTCGTCCGCATGCCACGAAGTGAAGTGTCCGAACGTCATAGGGCGGGAAGCTGGGTGTGGGTGGTGGCGAAGAGTCGTTTGGAAATTTGGTAGAGCTTGAACCGGCCCCCCCACAAAGTGGGGGTATTGCCCGCCTCCTATGAAAACCCTGGCACTGGTGAGAACGGAGTGTCCCCACGTGCTAGTAATTGTTGTTGTTGTTGTTGTTGTTGTTGTTGTTGTTGTTGTTGTTGTTGTTGTTGTTGTTGTTGTTGTTGTTGTTGTTGTTGTGGTTGTGGGTGTGGGTGTGGTTGTGGTTGTGGTTGTGGTTGTGGTTGTGGTTGTTGTTGTTGTTGTTGTTGTTGTTGTTGTTGTTGTTGTTGTTGTTGTTGTTGTTGTTGTTGTTGTTGTTAGTGCTTGTGCCATCTTCAATTGCGGCTCGTGCCGCTTTCCCTGTGCTCCGCCTCCTCTGGCCCCTCCTTGACCAGGCGAAGGAGGAGGACGAGGACATGTACGAGGCGCAGCTGAGCGCGCTCGAGTCGGAGAAAGAACAGATCCGGCAGGAGGCTCTCACCACGGCTTCCCATGTGCTGGGATCGAGGGCCTAAGGTTCCCCCAGCTCTGCCCGCCATTTGGGTGCCCCTAGGGCCTTCTGGGCCTCGTGAGGGGCGTTCTGGAGGCCACTTGGGCCTCCTTGGTGGTGCCACCTTGGGCCAGGGGCCAGGGGCACCTTTCGCGACATGTGTGCCAGACCAATGTGTGTTCCAGCTCCGCCGGTAGCACGCAGCCTATGTCGGCCCTCATTGCGTCGCCTGCGTCGTGTCGAGGGGCTTCGGTCGACAAGCACACGTTGGCGCGCACACACGTTCCGAGGATCATCGCCAGGACGTGTGAGGAACACGACGAAGAGTGGAGGGTGAGGAGAGGCCGAGGGGGGTTAGCGGAGAGCTTCAGTGCACGCGGGGTAGAGGCAGGGTTTTTTGCGGGCAGCCGGGCACCAAAGGGAAAGGCCTTCCGATCCAGTGCAGGTCCACGTTGCAATGATTGCCCCGCTACCTCTCACGGGCGACGAGCGTATCCACGTGCTTGCCTTCGCGCGGGCTGGATGCCGAGGCGCGATCCCACGGATACGTTCTCTCGGTCCATGGGCACGTTCTGCGCGGGTCCTCCGCGCAAAAAGCAGCCCTCTTCCCACGGGACCGCGGCCGAGGAGTCTAGACCGCAAGGTCGTGGAGGCGTGTTCCCGCCCGCGAAACTCGGTCCTCCTCCCCACGTCCCTCTCCACTCCCAAGTCTCCCCGACCCCCCCTGCCCGAGTGGTGCCTGCGGAGCAGCCTGGGCGTTGACAAAGCAGTCCTGCCCTGCTCGATCCCCTCCCGGGGCGCGCTTGCAAACTGGCCTCGCCTGCAGTGGGCGCTTGCTGTGAGGGTGGCTCTTCTGCCCTGCGGACAGGGCACCAGCTCGAGGGCTTCGAGCCACAGGGCGCCACGAGGCACCGGCCGCGGGGTTCCAGCCACGGGGCGCCAGCGCAGGGCACCACGGGGCACCACAGAACACCACGGCGCACCGCCCGCAAAAGGCACCGCAAGGGCACCGCCCGCAGGGCTCCAGCCACGCAGGGCACTGGCGCGCGCGAGGAAGCATGGCTGGCCGCGGCGCGCAGCCAGACGGGCCTGGAATCGAAAAACAAGAAGCCGCATGAACATAGAATTTTGGCGCTCTGCCCGGATTCCTTGGAACCGCGCTGGGCCCCCCTGGCGGCGCCTCTGGTGCCGCCCCTGACGCGCTCCGCGCGCCAGGGAGGGTGGTCCAGCGAAGATGGCCTATGTAGAATCTAGATGAATCCGTTCCAGAGCGTTCTGGAACGCTCTGGAACGGCCGCGGCGCCCGAGACATGATCCAGGGCCGCCAGATCTCAGAGATTCCCGATTTGTCCTCACCCGATTCTATCTTCGTTTCGCTTCGTCTTAGCGAGCTGATTCGCCACCCCCCTTCGTTGTCTCCCCCTGCCGTTGCAACCCGCCGATATCTCAGATGTTTCCGATTCATTTCGGTCCGTTTTATCCTCGATTCTGCCCTCGTCTTGCGCGGTGGTCGGCAGCCTGGCGCGCGCCTGCGGCCGACTCGGCGGCGCCCAGGGCGGGGTCGGGAGGGTGGCAGAGTTGCCCGTCGGTCGTTGCTTGACTTCTCAGATCCCGAAATCTGCTTTCGGCGCCTTCCTGCTTCCACGATCGGGTGTTTTCCCCTCCTCCTTTAGGGGGTGGGCGGAAGCTCAATCTACTTCCACTGCCTTCTTGCTTACAGCGAGAGCGAGGCCCCCTGGGTAAAGGCACCGCGTCGACGAGTTCGGCGTCGGTGTGCAGCTATCGTCCTGTGGTAGGAGGAGCAGGAGGAGGAGACGGAGGCGGCAGCGGCGGCGGAGGAGGAGGAGGAGGAGGAGGAGTAGGAGGAGGAGGAGGACGAGGAGGAGGAGGAGGAGGTGGAGGAGGGAGGAGGAGGAGGAGGAGGAGGAGGAGGAGGAGGAGGAGGAGAGGACGAGGAGGACGAGGAAGAAGAGGAGGAGGAGGAGGAGGAGGAGGGGAGGAGGAGAGGAGGAGGAGGAGGAGGAGCAAGAGGAGGAGGAGAAGGAGGAGGAGGGGAGGAGGAGGAGGAGGAGGAGGAGGAGGAGGAGGAGGAGAGGAGGAGGAGGAGGAGGAGGAGGGAGGAGGGAGGAGGAGGAGGGAGGAGGAGGAGGGAGGAGGAGGAGGGAGGAGGGAGGAGGGAGGAGGGGGGAGGGGGAGGGGGGAGGGGGGAGGGGGAGGGGGAGGGGGAGGGGGAGGAGGAGGAGGAGGAGGAGGAGGAGGAGGAGGAGGAGGAGGAGGAGGAGGAGGAGGAGGAGGAGGAGGAGGAGGAGGAGGAGGAGGAGGAGGAGGAGGAGAGGAGGAGGAGGAGGAGGAGGAGGAGGAGGAGGAGGAGGAGGAGGAGAAGGGAGAGTGGGAGGGAGTGAGTGAGGGAGGGAGGGAGGGAGGAGGATGAGGAGGAGGAGGAGGCAGGAAGAGGCGGAGGAGGAGGAGGAGGAAGAGGAGGATGAGGAGGAGTGCGTAGGAGTGAGGAGGAGTGATGTGGAGTAAGGTGGAGCGTGGAGGAGTGAGGAGGAGTGAGGAGGAGTGACGAGGAGCGAGCAGGAGTGAGGAGGAGTGAGGAGGAATGAAGAGGAGCGAGTAGGAGTGAGGGGGACAGGAGGAGGAGGAGGAGGAGGAGGACCAGTGGAAACCCAAGAGTCATCAACGATGTCAGAATTAACGCTCCCTCCATGCTCCCTCTTCATAGGCCCCTACAACGGTTCATTTGCATTGAGGGAGCCGCCTCGTTGGAAGACAACAGCTTGAAGATTCTGAAGCGTGCCAAAACATTATTCTCGGGATTTCAACGCCACGTATCAACCTGACTGCTGCGTCTCGACGATCCAGAGTCGTGCCAGAACGCAATTTCTGGGACTTCAACACAGCGAATCAACATAACTACTGCGCCCGCAAAATCCTGAATCCTTCCAACACGCCGTTTCTGTACGTTGATCATGGGAATCCGTGAAACTCTTGCAACATTTCGAAAAGAATGTGCGTTGCGCTAATGCGAGAGCCACATTTTGAGAAGGAACCGCCCTCAATCCGTGAAGCTCTTGCAATTTTTGAAGACGAGAGCCACATTTTGAGAAGGAACCGCCCTCAATCCGTGAAGCTCTTGCAAATCTTTGAAACGAATGTGCGCGGCGCTAAGGCGAGAGCCACATTTTGAAAGCGACCCGCCCTCCATCTGTGAAACGGTTGTCACTTTTTAAGCTTCAGAGTCGTAAATGGTGAGGAAGTCTCAGGCGAAACGTCCGGCCCGCACTAAAAACTGGCATCGGGGTGCGACAGGGAGAATTTATGTATAAGGAGAAGGAATGGAATGGAATGGAGGAGGAGGAGGAGGAGTCGGAGTCGGAGTCGGAGTCCGAGTCCGAGTCCGAGTCCGAGTCGGAGTCTGAGTGTGAGTCTGGGGAGGAGGAGGAGGAGGAGGAGATCCACCTCCATCGCTTCCCACCCGCCACTCTCCAGCTGCCCCGCCCTCCCACCCGGAAGGGGTGAGTGGAGAAGAAACGACAGGGGGACGACGGGACCTTTTGCCCGCCGACCGCTTTCCGTCCCGCCTCCCTGTCAGGCCAGGGTGACGGAAGACTCTCTGAGGAGCCAGCTGCGCGGGTTGGAGACAGACAGAGATCGACTCCAGCAGCAACTAGCCGCCTCTGCTCAGGCCCTGGGCTCTTAACCTCATTCTCGATGTCTCTCCCCTCTCACATCACACATGACGGGCGTGTCTCCTCGCTCCGCCAGCACGACGTCTGGACAGTCGATCCCTGTGTTCCTCCCTCCTGGTTTTGCCCTCCAGCCACGCCTCTTTTCAACGAGCGGATCGCACCCTAGAGGCCTCTTCCAAACAGTGCGCGCGCTGAGAAAGAGGCCAAGGCGCTCAGGCTACACAGGGACTACTGGCATTTATCCTACCGGGGCACGAACTGCAGAAAGCAATTGCGAAGTTGGCCAGAGCACGACATGGTTGTGATAAATCCGAGGAATCATTAGTTCGAGCAATGCGCGACTTCGAGGAGGCGGAGGATAGGTTTCGCAGGGCAACGGGGTTCGTTTGCACCGTAGAGCAAGAGGGTAGCCGCATGCTCTGGATAATGTAGCGTACACACCTTGACTCTCCAGTGTTGATTATCTCTAGCCAAGACACTTTTGGTCGGCGGTGGGGGGAGCGAGATCGAACTTTATTATCCACCACGCCAAGTACGAATCGTAGTTGTTATCTTCTAAGTAGCATGAACAGCAACTTTATCACGAACGTGTGGCATGGCCACAGGATTCTCACCATGTCAGCCCTCCCAAGTCATGAACATCCGTACGTCCGGACAAGAGGGCCCTCGAGTACATCCGTACATCCGTACACCGTGCATCCGTACACTCCGCACACTCCTAAACATGTTTCGACACTTTGTACGTACGTACATCCGCACACTCTGTACATCTGCACACCGTGCATCCGTACATGCGAGTTGCTGGGACACATGCTTCTTATCCCCCGAAATTCATTTTCCCTGGGGTGTAATTACCGGGGGGCTCACGGTTATCAGTGCTGCCCACCTGTTCACTCCAGTAGTGTAACAACCATTCCAGCATAGCGGCGCTGTGGCCGAGGTGCCGCCGCCAGCCAAGCCAGGCCCCAGCCACAGCAACCCCAACTCCGAGGGCCAACAGCACGGGTGAGACCGTTAGCCGGGGTACGCATATCGACAGACTGACGTTACAGGCGGAAGCCTGGGTCGGCGTTTTCGCGGGGGCGGGCAGGGCGGTGGCTCGGAGGTCGGATTTTCAGTGGCTTTGCTGACAGCAGCGGTGTGAAGACGCTGTGTGTGTGTGTGTGTGAGAAGTTTTTTTGGATGGCGTCACCCGGCGCGTAGCTTCTGGATAGAGGGAGGGATAATGCGACATCATGAACTCACCACAGCTGCACCAGTTGCCATTTTCATGTGCAATGATTCACGAGGCAGGCCTTGGTGGCACAGTCATTACAATCTCAGGACATTATGCGGGCAGGTTGCCTTTTTCCTGAAGTCAAGACGTGGTTCCAATTCCAGAGCCAGCCGCCTCGCTTACAAGCCGCAGCAGCAACAGCTTTCTTTCAGGAGCCTTGACAAGCGTAGCGCGGCTTAGCTGGGCAGCAATGTCCATGATTTCGTTTGTTTCCAGCTGGAGATGGTAGGCAATTCTTTTGCTTCGTAATTCAATAATACGTAACAACTAAATATGTTTAACTATACGCTTGCATTTATAATCTAAACGCATATATATATATATGTATACATACATCTGTGTTTCTTCATATCACAAGCAGTGTCGACGTTTGCCCCAGGGTCTTCGACGATTTTGGATGGTAGAGACCGACAGAGATGCACACTGGCGGGAACTGAACCAGCGTTGGTGGGATAACCAACAAACAATCTTCTGTTATCTCCATGAATGAGACCCCATCCTAACAGCTACTCCTGCATCGAGTCTTGCGGAGTCTTACTCCCCTCCTATCTCCAACTTGGCCGTGTGCAGCAACCGATTTTTCCCCACTCATCATCATCGTCACCATCATCACCACTCGATCACCCACTCACTCACTCAATTACTCACTCATCCTCAGTAGGCTTCGGAGGCAGTGGTCCTCCGACGGTAGGACCGCCGCCACTCTCAACATCATCGTCACCATCTCCATCATAATATCTCGATCACCCACTCAGTGGCCATCATCATCATCCTCCTCCTCCTCATCATCATCATCATCGTCATCATCCTCATCCTCATCCTCATTCTCATCCTCATCCTCATCCTCATCCTCATCCTCCTCATCATCATCATCATCATCATCATCATCATCATCATCATCATCATCATCAACATCATCAACATCATCATCATCATCATCATCATCATCATCACTCATTCATCACACACTCATCATCATCATTCGCTCACTCATCATTTCGTCATCAGGCGGGAGCCTCTGAGTGAATTGCGAGGAAGTATCAGGCGGGAGCCCCCTCCCTATGGGGCCCGCAGATCATGTTACTAATCCGAGCGGGTCATCGGAACCCTGTAACTGTCGTCATTTTTGGGCCTCTGAGGCTCGGATATGCAGGAAGTATCAGGCGGGAGCCTCGTCTGTGAGTGAATTGCGAGGAAGTCTAAGACGGGAACCCCCTCCCTATGGGGCCCGCAGATTCTGTTACTAATCCGAGCGGGTCATCGGAACCTTGTAACTGTCGTCAATTTTCGGCTCTTGAGGCCTGAATATGGAGGAAGTATCAGGCGGGAGCCTCGTCTTTGAGTGAATTGCGAGGACGTCTCAGGCTGGAGCCCCCTCCTTATGGGGCCCGCCGATCATGTAATTAATCCGAGCGGGTCATCGGAACCTGTAACTGTCGTCACTTTTGGGCCTCTGAGGCTTGAATATGAAGGAAATCTCGAGCGGGAGCCTCGTCTGTGAGTGAATTGCGAGGAAGTCTAAGACGGGAACCCCCTCCTTATGGGGCCCGCAGATCATGTTACTAATCCGAGCGGGTCATCGGAACCTTGTAGTTGTCGTTACTTTTGGGCCTCTGAGGCTTGAATATGCAGGAAGTATCAGGCGGGAACCTCGTCTCTGAGTGAATTGCGAGGAAGTCTCAGGCGGGAACCCCCTCCCTATGGGGCCCGCAGATCATGTTACTAATCCGAGCGGGTCATCGGAACCCTGTAACTGTCGTCACTTTTGGGCTTCTGAGGCTTGAATATGCAGGAAGTATCAGGCGGGAGCCTCGTCTGTGAGTAAATTGCGAGGAAGACTCAGGCTGGAGCCCCCTCCCTATGGGGCCCGCCGATCATGTAATTAATCCGAGCGGGTCATCGGAACCTGTAACTGTCGTCCATTTTGGGCTCGTGAGGCTTGAATATGGAGGAAGTATCAGGCGGGAGCCTCGTCTCTGAGTGAATTGCGAGGACGTCTCAGGCTGGAGCGCCCTCCTTATGGGGCCCGCCGATCATGTAACTAATCCGAGCGGGTCATCGGAACTTTGTAACTGTCGTCACTTTTGGGCTCGTGAGGCTTGAATATGAAGGAAGTCTTGGGCTGCATGCGCGAGGGCAAGCGCTTCCCACCAGAGGTCTGGTCTGCCTGGGAGAAGACGTTGGCCTCGGACAACCACGGCGTCCTGGACCCACGGCACCAGCACGAGAATTTCCGGCTCGGCTACGGCATGGGCATCGACTGGGAGACGCTGGCGAGGTGGATCAACACGCGCGCTCGTCGCGACGCGCGTCGCCTCGGCGTCCCCCTCGTTTCCCTGCAGGCCGTAGACGAGTGCGGCACGATTTCAATGCGACCCAGACGCAGGCCGGCGCCTCCTGAACGTCCCGAACATGCACAAGACGGGAGACATCCACGGCGTCTTACCGGCGCACGTCGGCATGGAGGTCCAGTTCACGGTCGTGCAGGAGGAGCTGAAGAAGAAGTTGGGGCTCGTGCAGGAGCAACGGGCCACCATCGTGTCCTTCGAGTTTCACGCAGACGACGAGCGGGACTACGAGGAGTGCGCGCCGGGCCAGCTCTTCCGCCCCCGCTTCCTACCGCAGGGAATCTGGCTGCAGGTGCACGGCTTCCATGAGTCCCCGATCTACATGGAGGTCGCCGAGGTGCTGCTGCAGGGCGCCGATGGCGCTTCCGACGACGGCGAGGCCGAAGCGCGGGCGAGGAGCTTGCTCATGTTCAGGCCCAGCGAGCAGGAGCTCGCGTGGCAAAGCTCGGGGGCGCACACTGTGCGCCGCTCGGGGTTCACCCTGGCGCATGCGTCCTACCTGACCTCCACGCTGTCGCAGGGCCAGACGCCGCGCAAGGGCGTCACCATCGACTGCGCCAGGGATGAGGGCGCTGGCCGCACGGGCATGTCGGGCGAGATGTGGTGGCTGCGCCTCTACGTCATGTTCTCCCGCGCCACGTGCGTGCGGAACATGCTGATCCTGCGGCCGCCCGCGCGGGAGTTGCTGGAGCGCGGGCCGCCGGCGTCACTGCGCAAGGCGCTCCAGGATTTCGACAAGGGATCGGTGGATTCCAGGGCTGAGGCGGAGCAGCTCGCGGCAGAGCTGGGCTTCATGCTGCCGCCCGCCTGAGCGCCGCGGCGCGCGCCTAGAGGCCCGCGGGGTTGTCCCAGCGGCTGGCTCCCGCGCCCCTGCGGCCTGCGAGGTTGCCCCGACGGCCTGGCCCGAAGGGTTGCCCCGACGGCTTCGCGACCTAGCCGTCGGCAAACGTGCGCGCGCTGGCCGACGCGGCGACGGCGCCGAGGACAATCGAGTTGCTTGCCACGACCAGGGGGAACGGGAGGTGCGCATGGAAAAGAAGCAGGAGGATGAGGAGGGAAAGGGCAAGGGGGAGGGCGACGACGAGGAGGAGGTGGTGCGAGAGGAGGAGGAGGAGGAGGAGGAGGAGGAGGAGGAGGAGGAGGGGGAGGAGGAGGAGGAGGAGGAGGAGGAGGAGGAGGAGGAGGAAAAGTAGGAAGAGGATAGAATGAGGAAGAGAGGGCAGTGCAGAGGGCGAGAGGAGAGGGTGTCCGCCAGGGGGAGGAGGAAAGGGCAAAGGGTAAGCTAAACAGATTCTCATGGGGGGTCCTACCGTCGGAGTAATTCTGTTGCACTCCGATTCCCGCGCCGACTCATCATCGGCGGCTAGCGAGGGGGGTAACGGAAAAGGAGAAGGCCTTCTCAGAAGGCGCCAGGACTTCTCAGACGCCCTCGCGCCTTCTGAATAGTTTCTTGTGTCTTCGCGGAAGGCTAAGACAGCTTCTCAAAAGGCCAAGGGATTTCCGAGCCTTCTGAGAAGGCCCGCCCCTTCTCTTTTCCCCCTGGGCGCGTCGACTCCTCAGGGCTCAGGCCCGCCGTGGGTCTCCGCAGGCGGGGCGTCCTCCTCCCCGTCCGCTTCCCCCTCCCCCGCTCTCTCTCCCTCCCTCCGCGCGCCGCTATGGCTTTGGACAGCTGCTTGCAGCCTTCGCTGGTGCCCCGGGCCTGGTCTTGCCGCCCGCCGCCGCAGCGGCCCAGCATCCGGCTGGGCGCATCGCGCCCGCTCGTGTCCTGGGGGGCGCACCGCCAACAGTTTTTGGCGTTGGCACTGATCGCATGGCATCCTGAACCACCTGGCCTGTCTCAGTGCCCGCACTGCGCCCCGCCGTCGCCGGGCCCAGCAGCCGCCGCCTACCCCGCCGGCGGGGCCGGCTGCGCCATTCGCTCCAGGTGTGACCCGTCCCCCGGCGCGGCCTTCGCTCCTTGCCTCCTCCTTCGGCCGCCTTCCTTGTCTTCCTCCTTTGTCCTGCGTCGTAACGCAGGTTGCTTCAACGGTATCCCCGTTTTGAATGCTCTGTCCGGCGGTGCAGTTACTCTGCTTAGCCGCCGACGAAACAAGTGTTTTGGTCGGACTCGCATCGCGCGTTCGCCCGGTCTCCCTGCTCCTCCTTCGCCTGCCTCCTCCTCTTCGTCGTCGTCTTCCTCGTCATCCTTGAACTTATTTCTTTATCTCCTTTGCCTACCCCATCTTCGTCGTCGCCGTTGTCGTCTCCCTCTCCGTCTTCCGCCATTCCTTTTCCTGATGAGTAACTCTCCCTTGTCACACCCCGATGCTGGTCGAAACGGCGGCCCGGGCGTTTCGCCCGAGACTTCTTCACAATGATCCTGAACCTTGAAATTTGCAACGGTTCACGGATGGATGGTGGGTGGTTTTCAGCATGTAGCTCTCGCCTTAGCGCCGTGCGCCTTTGTTATTCAACTGGGTGCATCAGCTTCGTAGATGGAGGGCCGTTCCTGTTCAACGTGTGGTTCTCGTTTCTGCGCTGCGCACATTCGTTTTAGGAGTTTACATCCGTTTTAGGCCTTCATATGGTTAGCATCCCCCCGAATGGTGTTTCGGCAATATGGAGTGTTACGGTGCTACACTTACATTGAGTCGTTGTGTTGAAGTCCCAGGCATGGTTGTCTGGCACGATTTAGGATCGTGAAGACGCAACAGTGACGGTGATTCGCGGCGTTGACGTCCCAGTGATGGTGTTCTGGTTCACTTCAAGATTTTCAAAACTGTTCTCTGCCAGCGGGGCAGATCCTCCAGTGAAACGCATCCTGGTAGGGGCCTATGAAAATGGAGCTTGGAGGGAGGGTTTACTGCATTGTCGTTAATGGGTCTTGGGTTTACGCAGGTCTTCGTCGTCGTCCTCCTCCTCCTCCTCTTCGTCCTCCTCCTCCTGCTCTCTACCCCGGTTCCCGTGAAGCCCTTCAGGCTTCTTGGGTCCCAGCGAACCTCTCTTCGTCCTCCGTTTCTTCCGAGGAAGTGGGGGATGATTTTCGGCCAGTGGAGGCCCCCAGAGGCTTTAGGAGGTTTCCAGGATCTTCCAAGAGACCCCCTTCTGTCTCCATTGGCTTGCTCGTCCTCCCGGTTTCCCCGCCGCCCCCTCCAAGGCCAAGGAGGTGGACGAGGACTTGTTTGATGCACAGCTGAGCGCGCTGGAGTCTGAGAAGGAAAACCTCCGGCAGCAGGCTGCTGCCGACGCAGCCGACAACGACCGACGACGACGACGAGCCCTGTCCAGCGCCAGCGGCCACCACCGCCCTGCCGCCGCCGTCGTCATCGGAGGACACTCGCTTCGCCGCCGTCGAAGTCTCCGGCGCCGTCGCCGTCGTCGCCGCTGCCGCTCTGCGCCGCCGTCGTCGTCAGAGGGCCCTCCGCATCGCCGCCGTCGAAGTCTCCGGGGCCGCCGCCGCTCTCCGCCGCCCTGCGCCGCCGCCGATGTCGTCGGAGGCCCCTGGCTTCGCCGTCGTCGACGCCTTAAACGCCGTCGTCGTCGTCGTCGTCGTCGTCGCCGTCGTCGCTGTCGCCATTTTGCGCCGCCGCCGTCGTCGTCGGAGGACCCTCGTGTTGCTGCTTTCGACGCCTCTTCCGCCATTGCCGTCTTCGCCGTCGCCGCCGGCCGCATCCGCTGCCGCTGTCGACGCCTCCGTCGCCGTTGCAGTCGTCGCCGAGGGCCTTCGCCGTCGCCGCCGTCGATGCCGCCGCCGTCGCCGCCCTGCGTCGTCGTTGCTCTGCGCCGCCGCCGCCGCCGTCGTTGCAGGGCCTTCGCTTCGACGCGGTCGTCGCATCCGCGTAGTTGCCGTCGTTGCCGTCTTGTGACGAGTTGGCCATCCACAAACTAGGGCCAGGGTCTACGTCTTCCAGATGGGGTCCGAGTAGATGGGGTCGGAGGATCGCACCGCATCGCCGATGCATCGGCAATGCGGCTCGGTGTGGAGCCCGACTTCCTCCACGCCGACCGCGCCGATGCATCGCTGCATCGGCGATACTTTGGCGATCCTCCGACCTTATCTGCTCGGACCCCATTTGAGAGGCCTACAGGCATGCGCTCAGTTTTTATCGCTGCGCACTGGCTATATGTACGACCGCTGCCACACACGAGGTTCGACTTTAGGTTATTCTGACAGGAGTCTGCAGCGCACCTGCGTTGTAGACGAGCCCCCCGGGGTTGCTCAGTTTGGGGGGCGCCAAGTGGATACGTGCAGCGACCCTGGCAAGGCCGCCGATACAGCAACCACCGACTCCAGTAGAAGAGGGCACGGAGGGAAAGGCTCCGGGAGGGAAGGGCTCACTGGGAGTCGTGCCAAGTGCTTTCATCTGGCGGGGCAGCGGTAAGCCATGCCCCGACACCAGTGCCGGTGCCTGATTCCCAGACCTTCGACTTCTTGTTTTCTCAACATATGTGCCACTGCTCCTCCTCCTCCTCCTCTCCCCTTCTCCCCCCCCCCCTCCTCCTCCTCCTCCTCCAACTCCCCCTCCTCCTCCTCCTCCCTCTCTTTCTGCTGCCATTTTGGCTCAAGTGCCAACAGCGGCAGCAGGTGTTGGGTTCCTGCGCGTTGTGGCATTCGAGCGGGCAGCCCTTCTTGAAGGGGCATTCTTGGGGTCGAGCCCAAGCGGACACATCCAGTCTTTTCTTGCACGGGGTGTCACTCCAGGCGCCGCCGCCATGGGGGATGCTGGTATTGTTGCTCAGTTGACGCAACTCATCCAGAGTACTCGAAGCTCGTTTCTTGGCAGTCGAAACCAAGGTGAACACTCTCTCCCACCACGTCAGGAACGCTGAGAGCCACATCTCCGCGTTCTCCACCCAGTTCTCCGATGTTGTCCAGACTCAGAAGCAGCAGGCCATGGAGATTCAGAGCCTGAAGGCGCGCCCGCCGTCGTCAGCAGCATCAACGGCGTCAGGAAACCAACGGACTTGGGCGTTTCGGTTGCGCACTGAGGACGGCAGTGACCGTCGTCGTGGTGAGGATGATACTGGTGGATACCCAACGACCAAGTTCATTGGCCACTTCCCTCGTCCTGTCCTCGAGCGGATTCGGAGGCTTCACGTCGAGGGCCTGAATTTGCAGTACCCTGACCTGTTCGCGAACGTCGACGCAAAGTTCTTTGCAATCGCCCAGAGCTACCAGACCATCTCCCATACTACAGATGATGCGAGTGCCTTCCAGCGGGAGGCCAATCGGGGTGGCTTAGTATGGACTGACCCGCGTACTCAGATCCAGCATCAGCTTCGAGTCAGAGCAGATGTCCCGCAGCCTGTACGAAACAAGAAGCGCGCCTTCTACAATCTGTACCTTCCCATCTGCGACCTTCTGCAGCAGTCATGCACGTGGGCCCCAGATTGCCAGCTGGGAATCGACGGGTTCCGCGGAGTCGTGCGCGTGAAGAACGACTCAGACATGTGGGCGGTCATCGAGATCAAGCAGGTCACCATCCGCAATGGCGAGGAGCACTTCGTCTTCGAGCCCAAATTCGCCGAGCTGAAGGAATGGGGAATTGCCAAGGACTCGGTCATGACTCTGATCGAAACTCAGGAGCCTGCAGCTCCTGAAGGCCATTGAGGTTGAAGAGTGACGGCCTCCCTCGCAGTCAACTTGTGTTTCCCAGCGTGCTGTGCCTGTGTGCAGTCCTCTTCCCCCCTCGTCGTCATCCGCCTCCTTGGATTCCAGCGCTACAGCCGACTCCGACTCCAGCTCTGGCGACAGCTCTCTCGCCCTGTCCAAGGGCGGCCAGGATTGTGTACCGTATGTTCCAGGGCAGAAGTTCTCGATTGTTGCGTGGAGTGCGCGCGCCTTATTTGAGCCCGCGTGGGGAAGTCATGACATGCAAGCTCGTGTATGTGCTAGTGTGTGGGTGAGCTCATGAGCGCGCGCGACATTGCATGCGCGCAGGAAACGCGCGGCACGAGTGGCGACATCTTCACGCTCGAGCGTGACTTTAATGACGTCCGCCACTTTGGCAGCTCCTGTGAGGATCGGCTGGGCACTGGGGGCGCCATCGCCAGTATTCTGCAATACCTTAGACGACAGTTCGGGGATGTAGCCTTCTCCAAGATGGTGAAGGGTAGAGCCGCGTCTTTGGGATTGCATGGGCCGCGCGCTGCACTGCATATCAGAAATATCCATATCGTTCCTGGGTTCTCCCATGGCGAACTTCTCGGGAACTTCCAGCGAGTGAAGCGTGCGGCGTGGTCGACTGCGACCGTCGATGTTTCCCTCCTCTGCGACTTCAATTGCTTCGAAGCGGGCGGTGCTGGATACTCTGTTCGGGGGGATGTGGGGCGGTGTGCGCCGCCGCCTTTCAAGATGGATTTTCGGAAGTGCTTCCCCTCCCTGCTCGAGTGCGCCCCTGCTTGCTTGGCCCGCCGCGTGACGCCAGGCGAGGTTGTTTCTCCTTGGTGCGTCTGGATCGTATGCGCACTAGTCTACCTATTGCTGATATTCTCGACTTGGCTCCTGGAATTTCCACGGCGCGGCGCCCTGCAGACCCCCGCGAGCCCTCTGATCGCGCCCCTCTGGATCTTAGGTTACAGCGTCCTCATCATAGACGACGTATTCAAAGTACCCCACCTTGAATTGCAAGGCGCCCACGGTTCTTCGCGCAGATCCCTAGCCATCTGCGTCCTTCGGACTTCTCCGCCGACCCGAGCGAACGTCCTATGGAAATAAAGCAAGTCATGAGACATTCAGCTGTGCGAGTCAGGTTTGATGTGCTTTCTGACGGTGCGAACGCCGACGACGAGCGCCTGGCTTGTTCGTTGAAAGTATTGCATGTTTCTCGCTCTCTACCCGCCCATGCCTGTCGTGATTCTTGCCCTGCTCATCTTCTCCACCTTCTCTGAACGTTCTTGCCCTGCCCCAGTCTTGCCCTGCCCCGTCCTGTTCTACGTGCTGGCCCCGATCTTGCCGAGTGCTACAACTTGCCTCGATGTGAATGGACTGATAGGTTTCGGCTCTGTGCGCATGTTGGCGACCTATCTCGCCGAGTGCTTGAAGCTGAGGAGCGAGGGGTCGCTCCTCGAGAGATGGTTCAATCTGAGCAAGACCAGCATCTTGCACGAATTCGTAGCATGGCGAAGGAGGGCCTGGGCCATGAACCGCCCGGAGATCTTCCTCGCTGCTGTCCGAGACGACGGCGGCGCTGAGCGTAAGGAAGACGCTGCAATGAATGCTGGGGCAAGGTTTTTCTGAATGCTTTCTGAATGCAGGGGCAAGGTTTTCTCTCGGGTCGACAGTGACTTCTCGGGTGCCTCCCAGTTCCTAGACCCCATCCCGCCCCTCCCGCCCGACCCCTACAAGTTCGCCGACTCCGCCCGCCAGAGGTCCCCGTGGATCCTGAGGGGGGACCAGTTTTCTGACCTCCTCGAATCCAAGGTTGACTCCAGTCCAGGACCCGACGGCATCCCGCGCAGTGCCTGGCAGTGCCCGCATCCGCCGATGATGGAGGCCCTCTGGGAACACTGCCTTGCCTTCATGAATGCGCGGCGGCTCCCCGATGATTTCATCTATTCCAGGTTGGCGTTCTTACCTAAAGGCGTACGTGCTCCTGGTGCTGTCGCTAGAGCGCGTGGAGACGCGCGGCCGCTTGCGTTGAGTAACGCGGATAACGAGATCGCCTCCTCGTGCTTGGCGCGCCCGCTCATGCGGGTGGCCAGCGGAAAATTCCACAGTGCCCAGGGGGGGCTTACATCGGGCCGCTCGCTCGCAAATGACATCGTTGAGTTCGACGGTCGATGAGTGTCGCGGCGAGCTCCCAGACAAGTCGCGCGTCGCTGGGGGCGCACTATTTGACGTGAAGAGTGCGTTGCCATGTGCGCATCATCTTTCTGTTTTTTGTGTTGCAGCGTGCCCCCCTCCTTTTCATTAACTGTAGTCGGTCGTTGCACAGGCGTGCGGTGCAGCATTTCGGTCCGCGGTCTGAGGCTGGTGGATTCTAGGCGCTCCGTGGGGTCAGACAAGGGGATTCCCTTAGTGGCCTACTCTTCGCGTTCGCTTTCGACCCTGGTCTACGTGCTATTGGTGAATTGAGGATCTCTCTTATTGTGTGCCCTGCAGCAGATGCAGACGATCTAGCTATTGCTGCTGGTGGTCCCGTCCTTGCCCTCCCTCGCGTTGTCGCGCTTTGAATTGCTGCTGCGCCGTGCTCTGGGCTTGCTTTCAACTTTCCCAAGTGCGTGATCGTGATC